TGGGCATAATTTGTCTCTCAAGGAGGCCTTTTTCACAAATTCTCCCTTTTTTAAAGTCATTTTTATTTATTTTAGAAAGTCAACAATTTAGAAAATGTTCATATTATTAGACTAAAAAAAATACAAGCAAGATTTTTTGTTGGCAAACAAAATTGATGTAGGATTGAGATAAGAATAATATTGATCACATTACTCTCATGGGAATCAGCATGTTAAAAACCCTTTCTTTTTGTGTGAATATATATATATATATATATATCTATATAATACATTGGATTTTGGAAATAAATAATGGAAAAGGGGGCGAGATAAGAGATAAATCCTAAGGTGCAAGACTTCATATACTTTTCAACATGTTTTAAGTAAATCTAATGCGTAAAAAGATTACAAGAATATATTTATTTATTTATTTTCTTATCCGTATTAATTAAATGTAGTGTGCTTTTACTTGTTTCTATTCATGGGGCATTTGGCACTTGTGAACACTACACGTTTAAGTAGAGTCAGGAATTCGGGCGGGCCCGAATTGGCCCAAATTCAAACCAGCCCATGTTCTTGAAAAGCCCGAATAGCTAAGCCCAACCCGAATTTCTTCGGGCTTGGGCGGCCTAAATATCCAAAATTAATTTTTAAAATTATTTTTAATTTTTTTACTTTAAAATTAATTATTTTATTTTATAAAAAATATAAAATATATTTTTTTAATACTTAAACGATATCTAGGACTCAAATATATGGTATTTTAGTATAAAATGATCTAAAATTTAAAAAATTAATTAATATTTATTATATTTTATATATTTTTTAAAAATATAATTTTTTTATTCGGGTATTTGGTTTGGACTTGGCCCGAACATAAAAAAAATTTTTTTAAACCCGACCCTAAAATTTTTCGAGCCAATTCAGGCTAACCCGTCGGGCTTAGCCTGAATTACCGGCTCTACGTTTAAGGTATGTGTAAATTACATGTTAATTATTATGAGTGCCTCTAAATTACAGATGCTTCGCAAATATAATTCGACATAACCCAAAGGAATAAGGTTTTGCTTGGTCAGAGTCTCAGAGACTCAGATTCCGTTTGTTACCGCAGGGCCAAATACAGAACCAATCTTGGTTGAGTCAATGTTAAAACAAGCCAGAGATGTATTATGATCTACATGTTTCCAGAAATAATGCATTTAAATGTTCTCAAATTTAATGACTTGAGAGTTTTTTTTTTAATAAAAGATCAAATATATTAACAAATATATTTCTAATGACTTTAGGCATGAAAGCGGAAATTGAATGGCCAAAATTCTTTGATTAGTAGGTTGATTCATGAATGTCATAATACGATTCATTAAATTCCAATTCCAAGAGTCTTCATGACCATCTACAACAAGATAATGTTCACAGCATTTCCCTCCAAAGTCCTAACTAGTTACACGCACAGCATGATTGAGACACTTCCAAAAGAGAGAGGAACTTAACCTTAGAACTTGACTGTCTTTATCTTTTACCTATCACACGCCTCAATCCTCCGTAGCTCAACCAGTTTCCCAGGTCCTACTGAACCACAAAGCCAACTTATGGAAGTTGAATGCCTATATTACAAAATTCCATGGCCTTATGGGAGGCATTACGACACAGTAAGCGGAACTCCTGTAACACCCTCATTTTCATAAAATAAAAAAAATAAAAAAATTATATATTAATAATAAAAACTTGCTAGTTAGACACAAGAATCCCAATAAAACAACTAAAACTTTTAAGCCTACAACCATTTTTCATAAATAAAAAAAAAGAAACTTTAATAAAAAGAACAGGGCTCAACTCAAAACCAAATAAAATAACCGTTTAAAGCTATTTTGGGGGACCCAAAATATCATAATTTACTATATATTTCAAAAACTAATAAAATAATAACTTAAATACATATTCCTAGGTCATGGCAATAAACAAAATATAAATTCAACATGTTGATATTTACAAGACAACTGAGTCATCGCTCAATAATTTAACACCTTCTCTTGTGACCTATCAACATCCTCACCTAAAGATTGTAAGAGGTAACAAATGAATTCTAATGTCTTAATAACAAATGAGAATTTTAAATATACCCATAAATCAATTCCAAGTATCATTTCGCAACATGTATTTACATAAATAATATTTTTAGCAAAACCAATTCACAAATGAGTTCACAAAAAGGAAATATTGTTTTTATAAGTCAAAGATATATCAAAGTAATTATACAATAGGTGATGTCATCCCTAACCCTCTTTTATGCCTCCCATCCACTTTATCTCTTAAAGGCATACCTAGCTAAAAGTGTATTATTTGCAAGATTAAATTTTCCTCCTTAAAAAAGAGACGCCTAATGTCTCACAATCCCAAATCAAGAAAAAGGAATCCTGACAAAAAATGCCAACTATGAGATCCTTAATAGTAGCTTACCATGTGATTAAAATAAAAAATAAATTGTTAACACAAAAAATAAATCCTTAACACATTCACCCCAATCATATCCTCCCTATAAATACATCACATTCAAAACAATTATAAATATGCAACCATGCTTGAATGTTATTTAGTTTTCAAAGCAATCGAGCATGTTTAACAAAATTATATTTTTATAAGAAATTATTTTCACAATCAAATCTTCACTCAACACAAATTAACATGCTTAAAAAGAATAAGGTAATTTTGGCCCAAAAAAAAGGTCATTATATAATATAAGATATAACATAAGCATGCTAGACGATTCAAAATGCAAATTTCTAGTCTAAAATGAATCAAACAAGCCCTTAGCGGGCACAACATTTCCATAACAATTTATATATAATAGTATGAAATAAAATGCACGTACAAGAACGTGCTAAACATTGTCAACTCAAATGCTATAATACAAAAATTAACAATAATAAATATAATTTATTACTAAGTTTCAATAATTTATTTTATCTACAAAATCAACTTTAACAGTTCTCAATGTTCCTATTTAATCTCTAAACTGTTTTATCCTTTAACTAAATTAATTTTTTATAAACTTTTGTCCATTTTTTATGTTCATAAGTTTAATGGAAACCTAATATTCATATCTTTCTCAAAAGACACAAACTCTATCTCTTAAATTTATCCCTAATACATATATAAAATTTTAGTTTTCATATTCAGTTTTTTTCTAAATAAATTTAAACTTCAGAGAAATTTTCTAACCTAAAATCATTACTCATTTATCATAAGTCTCTCAAATCATTAAAGCCTATTATAAAGTCCTCAAAATCGATTATTTGGACAAAACTAACACATACAAACTCTTAATGTAACTTCATTAGCTCTTTTAACAACCTAATAATCAGTTAGAAATACCTAACCAATTTAAAATCTATATATTTCTAGATTCCCTTCCCTTATCATAATAAAAAAACACTTCAAGAAGAAAATAAGATGAAAAGCTAGATCATTTGTCCAATTTTTAAAAGGCTGGAAACATCCAAAAGAAAGATTTTTGAAATCTCAATGTTACCCAGGTGAAGCTCTCCTTGTCACGCTCTCCTCACTCTCATCACCCTCACTATCTTTCTTTCTCATTGTACGGATGCTGCCACAAAAAGAATCGGAGGTTTAGAAATTAGGAGGGTACAAGAAATTTTTTGTGAGTTTGGGACTCAACCTAGAGTTGAAAAAACAGGTTAGCTCAACCCTAAAAAGTTGACCCTTAATAGACTCGGATTTAAAAAGGTCAGCCTATTTAAGTTAGAATTTTCTTTGAGAGGCATATATCTAAAGCATAACGGGCTTAAGATTAGCCCTGTGGGCTTCAAACCCTTTTACTTTTTGGTTTTATTTTTTAAAATTAAAAATAATTTATTTATTTACTACAAGATAAAATCTTACTCCAATGTCAAATCACATAAACATTTTAATTCTTAATATCAACAACATATTAATTATGCAAAAATTCCCTTATTTCAAATAATGAAACATTAAAATTTGTAAATTCTTAATTCAAGTCATACAATACAAAATTATATAAATATAAAAATACTCTATTATTAAAAAATATAATTTAGAAATATAAACACACATATGTAATATGAATTAAATTATTGTCCATAATCTAAATTATATCAAACAATTACTTTTTTGTCCAAAAAAATCATTGTCTGGAATTAAACAAACCAAACTTTATTAAAAAAAAACCAAAGTATTATGTAAATTTTAATTCTAAAAAACTACAATAACAACTAAATATTTGAAACATTATGCATTAATAATATTATCATAATAAATAATATTTTAAAATATAAACAAATAAATGGACATAAATGGGCTGGCCCTCAACTCATCAGGACTGGCCCTTAGAAGCTGGCATTCTATTTTGAAACTTGAAAGCTTAAGCTTAACCTTAACAATTATTGTGTTTAAACGAGCTAACCCTACGAATTCGGCCTGTTTTTACAGCTCTAGCCCGACTACTGAATATCCAATGAAGTGGGCCATGAGTACGGCTTCTCCACACTTTTTTCTTCTTTTGGAACTTGAATTTATTTATTTTTTATAACTTCTTTTACTTACATTGTTATTATTATTATGAACTTTTAATTTCTCACAATGCCTTACATCTTGATCCTGTGGAAATTTTAAATACTCTTTTTTATTTTGTCTACAATTAACCAAACTCCTTTTTACTTAAATCTTAATTTGAGTATTTTACTTAAATGTACTTCAAATATTATTTAAACAGATAGAAGTTGTTAACTAGAAAAATAAGTTAAACTCCTTTTTATTTAGTCCTAATTAATTTGATTAAATTTTCATTCCACATAAGAAAATGGCTTCAAATTAAATTCTTAAAAATTTATTCCATTTTTGAGTAAATTTTCGTTACTCAAGTAATTACATGCTTTATCATGAAATAATTTTATTATAATTTAAATACTAGAAATAAAATGATCATCTTACAACTCCCGTGGCTCCAACAGATAAAGAGGAAAAAAGAAATCTGAGCAGAGGACTTGAAAGGGAAAACAAATGAATTCCAGTAGAAATGCCAAAATAATGCTGCAGCAATCAATATAATTTCTAAGTTTAACCAAGCCTCTGGTATTTTATGACATCATTTGTACCCAAATCATAGATCTTGCAAATTCTCTTGATGGCGGATTGACTAAGACCATCATCATCATTATCATGACGGGCTAGATTCTCAAGTTCCTCAGACGGCTTCAATACCTGCTCAGGACATGATAAAGAAACAATAGTCAGATGCAGGAAGGACAAAACAAGCACGGTCTTTGCGACTCGATGAGCAAAGAGAAATTCTTAGGTGCCCAAAAGTGCATATACATGCAGTGGCTAGGATTAAATCTGAGCACTTGATCAGATTGTGGAGACCAAATCTTGCCATTACATGTAAATACACTAGAGCAGACCAAGAGTTTCTCATAAGCAGAAAGGACATTTGCCTGCATGGACCCAAGAGCACCCAGTTGTTAAGACCAGACTAGAAAAACAGCTAGGGTAACCAAGCCAGTTTATTGTGAAATCGCATTCTTGTGCAGAGAGAGTACTTAAGTCAGTTCTTACTGGAAGACGGAGGAGACTGCATTGACATCCGTAACATACACAATATCATAAACAGAAAAAGCAGATATGCCAAAACCTTGAAATAACATGGGTTCCCGCTTTATATTAGTCAGGGGGGCATTTGATTCATTTAAGACCTAACTAAGAAAGGCCACGCATACGGTATAATAAACAGATTTGATTTCAATCCAACCCTAGAGTCACTTTCACCGTCCAATGTCTACCAAAATCAGAGTAACATATAAAATATTTACCCAATATGGCTCAAGTGAATAGCTTTCATTTCTAGAGTCATTTTGATCATTTTCCTCCTTATCGGTAGCAGATGTGATTGAAGAATCCGAGACTAGTTGAAACAGCTTCTCACTTCCCTATCAAATAATATGAAATAGAATAGAAACTGAAGTACAATTCAAGAGAAAGACACAGAATCAAAGTTCCGAACAGAATATGAATAAAATAGAGGACTATGAAAGATATCATCCTACTGGAAAGTCATCATCCACAATGGATAACAGAAAAATAGAAAGCCAAGGGAACCATACTCTTGATCAAATCAAATCATGGGCTTAAATAATCCTGTGATTCAGTGCTAGTTCTGTAGTTGCAAAGACTTTCAAAGATTAAAAAATCAATTTTAGTGCGTACAGGGAATGAAATTTTAATTATAAAATTTCATTGTTGTCACATGGTTTCATTGAAAGGAGTTTCCTATCTTTTTCAATGAAAGGAGTTTAAACTTTAAAGCAGCGGCCATCACCCTACGACAGTTTGAGAGTTGACAGCAAAAGTGCAACACCACATGAGTAGTAGATGTCCTTGATTGTGACAATCATGTTGACATAACATGACTGGTAGCAAAGGGAAAAAGAAAGCTCACAACTACTATACAAACTTTGCATTTGTATGATTGGCCCAAAAAACACCGTGTGTACCTGAAGGGCTCTCCAATGAGAATAAGCTCGAAATAAATTCCAGAAGAACGGAACATTAGGCAAAGGTAGAACCTGCAAAATATATAATTCAGAAAATGGTAACACATTGGAGCTGAAGAATAAATAAACATTAAATTAGCGCAAATGCACAATGTTGAACCACCTTGCAAAGAAGTAATATTATTGATAGTAAAAATTACAAAACACATACGTACGGCAAAGGAAGAGGTCAGTGGGAGCATTGAAATTGAACCATATAAGTATTTCTTGTGGATGATTTTCCCTCTGTAAATATTAAAAAAAAAACTCATTAATGTGACAATTTCACTAACATTTAAAGTCGAATCAAAATGCCAGAATAACACATTTCAAATTAGCCTATAAAACTTCAATCCATTTGCTGAAGCTATATAAGAATCAGAAAGCGATGTTTCGTCTAGAAAAATGAATCAGACAGAAATGTCTCAAGACCAAACACGGTATTGAATTTAGAGAACTCTTAAGATCATTATAAAGTAAGCAATTTTTGATATATTCCTCTTCCATTCTGCCAGCTTATCATCATACCCTGAAAGCAAGGGCAGAATGATTGAGAAAACGGAACCATCACTTGACAGTTTGGCAAAGAACGCAAATGAAATGGATAACCCTGGGGGCGGGGTTGCTTTATTCCATGTGATTAAGGTCCCATGTTAGCTGCACTTTAACATAATAGTACCTGATAACAATAGTCATCATGGACTACAAGAATTGCAAAAGGCAGGTAATCTGCTTAAACAACGATGGAATTACATTCTAATTTTATTTAACAGGCAGGTAAAAAGCATTCCCTCATAAGAACAAAATAAAAGATGCTAATAGCCATCCACACAGATAAATAAGCTGTTCAGTTAAAAGCATTACACTGCTTACATTCACATATATCGGGCCACCTAAGTACAGGTGTCCTTGTATTCAAAATATAGTGCAAAAGTAGTTTAGGAATACTGGAATAGGAGGCATCAACTCCATTTAGAAATTGTAAGAACCACAAATAAAGTGGCCAGGGGCCTATAACTCGAAACTTTCAAAAAGCAATGATCAAGTAATAAGATCCATGCAAGATGAGATTAACATAGAAAGTGATAAGTTCAACATCGTGATTGGGACAAGAAAAATACCTCATGGCCACATGCCTTAGTCTTCGGCGAACAAGTCGAGCATCCAAACTGCAAAATTTTTGAAACTATTATAACACCCAAAAGAAGCAAACCCATGTCTAAGTTTTCTTCTTCTTCATCAAAAAATAGGTAGAAACTAAACGAAGGAAATCATATCCCAAGTAACATCCTAGTAATAACTAAACAGATCACCAAGGCACCAACCTAGATGGGTAAATCACTTCAACCCGAGTAACTTCCTTTGTTATAGATCTTAAAAATATCTCAGCCGGCTTAACCCGTGACAAAAGCCGCAAGCCCAGCCTGCAAGAAGCCAAGAATTCCAATCGTTACCCAAGAATTTTAATAATATCTGTAACCTTATAGTGACATATAAACTGCAACACTTACCCATGAATCTTATTTTTAAAACTTCCTTCCGGTGCATTTTCCAATCCAATCCAAGCTTTACTCATCTTTTGCCGACAATCAAATTAAACGATCAGTGAACACAGGCACGGTATAGAGATAAGAAAATTGTGAAACGAAAAGGAAATTGACAACAAAAATGAACTGAATACAATGAAAGCCACCTTGTTGGCCACGAAGTCTACCAAAAGCTCGGCATTGGCGTTAAAGGATTTACCACTGATAGAAATGTTTTTCCGGAGCTCCTTGAATGTAGTAGCCTGAGAGGAAGCCTCGGAGGCCAAAACAGACGGGTCAGCGGATCGGCTGAAGCACCAGATCCTCCCTCGTATTGGGAACACGACCAATCTGGCTCTCATGATACTGCCCAAATGCGAAGGTCTATTGGCTGTAAAACCCTAGAAAGAGACGAAGCAGAATGCAGAGCGGTTTCCCAGACGACGAATAATATTATCAGTTAAGAACTAAAGATCCATTCTCTTTGATTCGGTAACAATTGTAATACTCTGCATATTCCAAAAGTCTAATCACGAAAACAAAGTAGAGAATCTCCTGCACCAGCATAAAAAGAGGCCTATGATTTTTAGAGCAAGCAATGGAAATGTAACGACTTTGTGAGATGGGGTCGAGTTTTCGCGGCTGAAAGTAACGGAGCAGAAGAAGAGAGAAAGGAAAGAAAGACGAAGAAGGCGTAAAAAGCGACGCACTTTGGCCCACATACAAACACGGACACAACCAGATGCGAAGAATAGAGGGTGAAAAAGGAAGATAGAACAGAAGGAGGCGCATGCGATTGCGGGTCGCGAGCAAACCGAGTCAGCTTCGCGCTGCGAAATATTATCGAGGTTCTGGTCATCGTCGCTGGAAGCGCATTACGGAATACGGAACATGATTCAATTTCTTTTCCGGGAAAATAATCCATTTCTTTTCAGGGGAAAACATATTTCACTCGTTTCATTTATCCAATAAAAATTTCACATGAGTAATTTGATAGTCAATAACGGCAAATCATCCATCATGCTATAACAAAAATTTTTTTTTATCAGAACACTACAGTTTCAAAAATATTTATTAAGATATTATAAATAAAAAGTCAGTTTGATAAATATCAAGTTTCAAAAAATTTTGTGTCAGGCATATTTGGAACTAAGCTTCCATGGCACTGAATTTTGTTCAGTTACAAAAAAAAAAGGCAAATTAACATCATATTATAACAAAAAAAATTTATTTATAAAAATACTACACTTTCAAAAATATTTATCAAGATGTTATAAATTAAAAATTGGTTTGATTGATAACAAGTTTCATTTTTTTTTTTTTTGGTGTCACGCATACATGGATGGAACTTGGCTTTCATGGCACCTAGTTTTGGACAATTAGAAAAGAAAATCAAGCATACTTGCTAGTAATGTGACTCCCCTCACTCCTTTCAAAAGTTACAAACAATTCTTCGCCTTCTCATGCATATTGGTAGATGTGATATAAATTATTTAGATAAAATTTATATATTTGTTATGAAAATAAAGATTGAGAATAGGAGAAAAGAAAGAAATCTAGATGAGATAATAAGAGAATTGAGAACATAACTTTCTTATTTCTATATATCGAAAGTTATGTTGTGCTTTTTTTTTAAACTAGAATTTTGTCTCATTGAATTTTTTTGGTGAGGGATTTAATGAAATAGCTTCAATAAATGTAAAAATAATGTTTATTCTTTTTTCTTCACTAATTTTTTGTCTATCAGGTTTTTTTAGTAAGGTTTTAATGAAATATAATATCTGAATATATAAGGGGAAGTGTTATGAATATTAGTGAATTTTGTGGATATCTATATCTTTTAGTTACTCTGAATCTTTTAGTTGTTGTTATTAATATTATTATTATTTTGTATGTTTTATTTGATTTAATCAATTACTTTTGTGCAATAAATAAAAGACATTTCAATTGTATTTAACACGCAAAAAAAAATTTAAATTTTTTCATTCTAAGTTTCTCTTTTCTCTCCTTTTCTCAATCTCATTCATCACAAATATATCTTTTTTATCTAAATAATTCAGATTACATCTGCCATATGAATGAGGAGGGGGAGAATTGTTTGTAACTTTTGTAAGGGGTGAGGGGAGTCACATTAATTGAGAAAAGAAAATGAACTAATAGTGGGTGAGAGGAGGGAAAGAATGGTAGATTGGCAAGTACATTTGATTTTTTTTTTCCCCTAACTATGCAAAACTTGGTACCATGAAAGCCAAGTTTTATATAAGTCTAACACAAAAAAAAAAAAATTGGTATTTATCAGATCGATTTTTAATTTGTAGTATCTTAATAAACATTTTTAAAAGTGTAATATTTTGATAAATAAATTTTTTTGTTATTGCATGATGGTCAATTTGCCAAAAAAAAAAAATCAAACGTACTTGCTAGTCTACCATTCTCTTTCCTCTCTCACCCACTATTGGTTCATTTGCTTTTTTGGGTTAATGTGACTTCCATCACCTCTCACGAAAGTTACAAACAATTCTCCCATACCCCATGTATATGGTAGATGTAATATGAATTATTTATTTATATATATATATATATATATATTTGTGTTTGCATTTGAGAAGAGAATCAACCAAACAATTAAAATATTAGGCGTGTCAAAGACATGGAGTCTAAAAAAAAATTAGGTTCTCAGGCTCTCTTACCTTAATTCACCTAAATATAAAGATGCAAGTTGAAATAAAATAAAATAAATATAATTAAAATAGTGTGTGTGAGCACAAATTATAATGGGTAAATTGAATTGAAAAGGGCACGTTAAATTAAAAGATAAACTAACTTTAAAAGCTAATGATTGAAAGAACTCCTCAAAATATTAAGGTGTTGTCGCATGATTTTTGTGATGTCCTCTTCTTTGCTATTGTTCTCATATTTATAGTATGGTAGCTAGTCGTTAGCTGTTTGTAATTGTTAACTTGCGTTCTCAAAATATTCGCAAATGAGGGTCACGTCATGATCTTGCGAGATTCGAGAGTTGTTGAGATCATAGTCTCATGTAAGGCAACGGTTTGGCTGCTAGTTTTGAGTCTTAAATGATTCCAAGACCTATGTTGACTTGGTCAAATCATTTTACCATGATGTAAGCTGACCTAATCATTATTAGATCTCTTACTAGGCTTGATGCTTCATTTACTTGGCCTAGCTCTTACTATAGTCATTGTATCCTTTTGAATAGGTATCATTTTAATTTTGGCCCAAACAATTTGTTATGAAAATAGAGATTGAGAAGAAGAGGGAAGAGAGAAACCTTGAATGAGAGAGCCAAGAGCTTTCTTATTTTTGTGTGTTAAATACAATTGAAAACCTTCTATTTATATGCTCAGAGGTAATTGATTAAATCAAATAAAATATAAAAAAGTAATAACTGAAAGATTTGGAGTAATTAAATGATATAGATATTCACAAAATTTTTTTAATATTTATAACACTCCCCTAGTATTTCTATATATTATGCCTTCTTGAAACCTACTAAGAAAAATCCAAAAGGACAATAATTTATTGAAGAAAAAAGAATAAAAAGTTTTTTATATTTATTGAAGTTATTTCATTAAAAACTTTATCAAAAAAACCTAATGAGACGAAGCTCTAGTTAAGGAAAAAAAAAAGATAGCAAAACTTATGCTGTCAATTCTCTTCTCTCATCTAGATTTCTCTCTTTTCTCCCATTTTCAATCTCTATTTTCATGACAAATATATAATTTATCAAATAATTCATATACACCTACCATATACATGAGGAGGGGGAGAATTGTTTGTAATTTTTGAGAGGATGAGGGGAGTCACATTAACCAAAAAAAGAAAATGAACCAGTAGCGAGTGAGGGGGAAAAGATAGTGGCAAACTAGCAAGTACGTTTTTCCCCCCCTAATTGTACAAAATTCGGTGCCATGGAAGCCAAGTTCCATATATGCCTGACACACACACAAAAAAAAATGGAACTTGTTATCTATCAGACCAATTTTCAATTTGTAATATCTTGGTAAATATTTTTGAAAGTGTAGTATTTTTGTAAATAAAATTTTTTGTTGTAACATGATGGTTAATTTGCCTTTTTTTTTTCCCCTAATTTTACAAAACTCAGTGCCATGGAAGCCAAGTTCCATATATGTTTGACGCAAAAACGAAAAAAATTGGAACTTTATGTCTATCAGACTGATTTTCAATTTGTACTATATGGCAAATATTTTTGAAAGTATTGTACTCTGGAAAATAAAATCTTTTGCTATTGCTTGACGGATCAATTTGCGGTTAACGCGTAGCACACTAACCAAATGGTACAGCGAGTAGTCAGGGCAATTTTTATTTTTATTTTTTTTGACAAACAGTTGTCAAGGCAATTCAAAAAACAAAAAACAAAATAAAAAGAGTGATATTACCTTTTCCTTTTTGAAGAAAAGTTTAAACGAATTAACGGACGGAATAGATGTGGCAAATGCAGAACGTGTAAAATGGCTCGCTCTCTCTCGTCGACGGAACTGCCTCTTCAACAAAACCATGATTGAACAGTGGAAGAAGACGACTTATTGGTACGTAGTTCGAAAAAGATCAAGAACGCTGAGGAAAGCAAGGTGAAGCATGTGATGCAGGAACAGTGGCCAAAGCTTGGGACAAAAAATGTTCCGAGTCTACTGGGACACGCTGAGAAGCTGAAAGGTGATTTGATGTCTCAGATGATGAAGAGGACGATAACACTGATGAGGAACAAAATTCGGAACCAGGTTTTCAAACTGTTGAGGACCCTAAACGTAACTTTCCTACCTTCATTTTCTCTTCAAGGGTGCACATTGATCGTCAAGCTGCTCGATAGGACGATTGGCTTTAAAGCTCTGGAAACGAGACTTCAAACAATGTGGGCAAAAAAAAGAGTAACCAGACTTATCAATATCAATTACGGGTATTTTGTTGTAAAGTTCTCAAACAAGGAGGATTATTTCAATGCATTAACTGGTGGTCCATGGATGATTTACGGCCATTATCTCACTGTGCGAGCATGGGAACCGAGATTCCCAGGAGGCCACCATTGACAAAGTGGCTTGCTGGGTCAGAGTGCCAAAGGTTTTTCTGGAATATTATGATAATGAAGCTCTATCATTCATTGGAGATAGGACTGGTCAGACTATTAAGGTGGATATTCATACTTCCTGTCAGTTAAGGGGGCATTTTGCAAGAATTTGTGTATTAGTTGACCTTAGTAAACAGTTAATGTCTGGTTTCCACTTAGACGGAGAAGATTATCACTTGGAATATGAAGGATTACATATGTTATGCACTAAGTGTGGAATCTATGGACATAGATGGGAGGTTTGCCCACAGAAGAACGTCGAAAACCAGTCGGAAAAAACAGAGCATGCTGATGCTAGTACTGAAAAGATGGAAACCACCATGCAAGGAGTTAAAGATAGCGTTGAACTGGAACAGTGGGTGATTGTTCAGAAACAACGAAGACAGAGAAAAGAGAAGAGTCGAGCAGCCGGACTTTCACGCCGTGACCCCTCTGGTTCCCGTTTCGTTGTACTAGCCCAAGATAGAGAAACGTATGAAGAGGTAGAGGATGGTACAGTACAAACCATGCACGACATGAGCTCAGAACGAGAAACCACTATACGGAAGCCAAAGCAAAAGATGAAGAATAAAGAGAATACTGCCAAAATCAATGAAGAGGATATTAATTGGGAGGTCATAGCTGAGCATAATGCGGCTGTGCAGAACATAGTGGACCAACAAAAGGAGAACGAGAACGTACAGCGGATTCAGGAATTCATCCAACAAAAATTGAGCCAGCAAGCGCACTACGAGGGGACACAAAAGGGACTTGCCAGGCGAAGAGCAGAGAAAAGAACGCGAGATATGGTAAGCACCTGTGCAAAAAGAAATGAAATGTTGATGTTGACATGGGAAGAAAATGATAGTGGATTCGACCAGGAAGCCCAAGCAGTTGAAATGGAAACCCAAGATGACTATATACCCAATACTATTGTGGTACAACCATTACCACTGACAAGGGGTGATATTAGAATAGAGGAAGTGGACCCAGGTGAGAATGAAATTGGGCTTGTCATAGATAGCCCAATGAATGAGATGGGAGTGGATTGTGAGGGAACTGTGGTGGCTGAAACCCAGTTTCCTACTCAACAGTGATTACTTTAGCTACAAAATAAATATTATTTATGATGAATAATATTTTATTTTGGAATTTTAGAGGGGCCTGTGGCCAAGGCCTCATCCGAAATTTAAAAGTGGTAATGAATGGGCCTAAGCCCAATCTTCTTTTGTTGGCAAAAACTCGGTGTGAAGATGCAGCCAGGTTTCAACAGCTTCTTGCTCTTGGCTTTGACTCCATGGAAATTGTCCCTAGCGTTGATTGTTCGGGAGGACTGATTGCTACTTGGAAGAGCCAATTGATGAACATTGTGGTACTGAGGAAAGATCGACAATTCTTACACTTGAGGTGTTCTGCGGAGGGGCAACCAGACTTCTTATGTACAGTAGTGTATGCCCTTCCACACTCTAATTTTCGGGATGTGCTCTGGACAAAACTTTGTAATCTGTCTTCTTCAATTGTGGATCCTTGGTTAGTTTGTGGTGATTTTAACGACATTCTCTCAATCAATGAACAAATTGGTGGCTCGGGGGTAGGTATTCTTAATCGATGTCGTTGGTTTCAAGAACGGCTGGAAAGATGCCGTTTGACAGATCTGGGCTCGACTGGACCAAAATACACATGGAGGGGACCATGCGTGCGTGGGTTTTCTCGTTTATATGAAAGATTAGACAGAGCTCTAGCCAACAATGCTTATCTTGGTCATTTCCCAAATTGTACGGTACAGGTACTTGCTCGAACTCAATTCTCTGACCACAATCCTATTCTGATAAAACTTAGTAATGAAGAGCCTCTGGGTAGGGGTTTAAAACCATTCAGATTTGAAGCGACGTGGCTTACTCATGAAAATTTCAACAATTTCCTGAAGGAAAGCTGGAACTTAGATTACGATTTAAATCTCAACCTTGATGAATTTAAGAAGTCTGTGCTAGTATGGAATAAGGAAGTATTTGGGTATGTTGAAAAGAAGAAGAAGGAGTTATTAGCAAGATTGAAAGGCATCCAGAAGTCTAATGCTTATCCTTACTCTGCATTCCTATCAAAATTGGAAGGATCTCTACAACGAGAACTTGATAAGATCCTAAAGCTGGAAGAGACTAAATGGTTTCAGAAAGCTAGAACTGACTGGATCAAGAATGGTGATAGAAATACACGCTATTATCACTTGAAAACCACCATGTGGAGAAGAAGGAATAGAGTGGTTACTCTTAAAGATGATAGTGGAAGATGGATTGAAGAGGAAGAGGAGCTGCTAAAATGGGTAATTGATTATTTCAAAAGTTTATTCCAAGAAGACTTGCTTAAGTCTGGAACTCTGATTACAAATTCATCTTTTCCCGATATGGAGAGAGCTCGACTTGAAGGGCTTGCTCAAGAACCCTCAGATGAAGAATTTAAGAAGGCAATTTTCTCTATAAGAGCATTTAAGGCTCCAGGTTATGATGGCTTTTCTCCCATCTTCTTTCATGCAAATTGGAACATTGTTGGACCTATAGTTTACATATTTGTTAAAGATTTTTTTAATGGGAGACTATCTATTTCAGAAGCAAACAAGACTCTAATCTCCCTTATTCCCAAGCGAGAAAGCCCAGAGATGGTGAGCCATTTTCGCCTTATTTCGCTTTGCTCATTGCATTATAAATGCATAACTAAGATCTTAACAAGTAGAATGAGGAGCATAATGGACGATATGATTTCTCCATTTCAATCAAGCTTTGTACCTAGGAGACATATCCAAGATAATCTAGTTATTGGCCAGGAAATTATACATTTAATGAAGAAGGCCAAGAGGAGGCGAGGTTTTATGGCAATGAAGATTGATTTAGAGAAAGCGTATGATTGAATCAGTTGGGAGTTTTTACAACAGGTTCTGATTGATGCAGGTCTGGATAATAAATTTATCAACTTGGTAATGAATTGTGTTTCCTCTGTTTCTTATAATGTCTTATGGAATGGAGAACAATCAGATTATTTCTTTCTAAAGAGGGGTCTCCGACAAGGAGATCCTATCTCACCTTATCTGTTTGTTCTGTGTATGGATAGATTATCTCATATTATTTCTGATGCTGTGCACAAAGGTGACTGTAAACTGATCCTTGTTACAAAATCTGGACCTTTAATTTCACATCTTATGTTTGTTGATGATCTATTATTCTTTGGAGAGGCTTCAGAAGAACAAGCAAGTGCTATGATGCTCTGTATAGACCAATTCTGTGCTGCTTCAGGGGGAAAAAGTCAGTATTAACAAGTCCTCTATATTTTTCTCTCCGAATGTGAAGGCTGATTTGAAAGCAAGGATAAAAGCCATCACGGGAATGAAGATGAGTAGTGAGATTGGAAGATATCTAGGATTTCCCATGTCTAATACACGGAAAACTATAGAAAAGTTTCAATACATAGTGGACCGTGTAAAATCTAAGCTAGCGATGTGGAAAGCTAACTGTTTATCTACAGCTGGAAGAATAACCCTTGCCCGATCTGTGTTGTCCTCAATTCCTCTCTACCCTATGCAGGTTGCTAAAGTTCCAAATAGCATATGCAAGGAAGTGGAGAGATTGCAAAGAAATTTTATATGGGGTAGGAGTTCTAATAGTCATGGTTATCATCCTGTGAAATGGGAGAGGATTACTTTACCTAAGGACTATGGCGGTCTAGGTTTCAAAAAACTCGCCTCCTTCAATCGTGCTTGTGGAACTAAACTTGCTTGGCAACTAATTAGTAGGAACAAAAGTTTATGGGCGGAGGTACTTACTCAGAAGTACATGTTGAGAAATGAGAACAATCTTCTTGCTGCTTCTAACGGTGACTCTGTGGTTTGGAAGTTCATATGTCAACAAAAGGATGTGGTTGAGAAAGGGACAAAGTGGCAGGTAAGAAATGGACTACATATAAGCTTCTTCAGTGATACTTGGTTATTAGAAGAAGGTAAACTAAAAGATTTGTGTTTGAGACCACTCACAAGAAAGGAGGAGGAGAGCACAGTGGCGGAATGGGCTAAGTATGGCAGCTGGGATTTTCTCAAACTATCTCATTTATTACCTGCTAATATCTTGCAAAAACTAATCATGGTCATGCCTCCTCAAGTTAATGCAGGTCATGATATTATAGCTTGGAAAGGAAATCATAATGGGTCCTTCACCATTAAGAGTGCCTACTTCATCATTGAGGAATGCCCTGAATAACTACGGAATCCATTATATAGATCTATTTGGAAATGGAAAGGCGCAGAAAGGATAAAAGTGTTTATGTGGATTGCTTTCCAAGAGAAACTACTAACAAACCAATGGCATAGTAAATGGAGCACACATTCTCCCCTATATGGTTAGTGCAATGCTACCACCGAGGATGTTTTGCATATTTTAAGAGATTGCAACTATGCCAAACAGTCATGGAATAGGTTCTTGAGTTCCCGGTATCACAACCAATTCTACTCTGCTTCCTTAAAAGATTAGTTTGCAATTAATCTTAATGGATCTTTTAGCACTAATTTATATGAGAACTGGAATTTGATTTGGGGGGTAGCCATTTGGCAGCTTTGGATTTTGAGGAATAATTTCCTTTTCAATCCTAGCTTTACGAAGCCTAGTGATCCTGCAAAGGTTATTAGCAGTATTTGGAAATTATTTTCTATGCATGCTGATGTTAGTAATGATAAGGAAGTCTCATGCCGTTAAGATGGAGAATTTTGGACCCACCCTCCTGTTGATTACATCAAGGTTAATGTTGATGGTGCTATGTCAAGCACTAACAATAGAGCTAGCTGTGGTGGGGTCATAAGGGATCATGTAGGTAATTGGGTAGCAGGGTTTACACATTTTCTGGGAAGTTGCAGTGCATATGAAGCTGAAGCCTGGGCAATCTGGAAAGGGCTACAATTAGCTTGGGATATGGGCTTTAAGAAGGTTATTCTAGAATCTGATGCTAAGGCTGTTATTGATGATTTAAAAGACATCTCACGGAACAATAAGGACAGTCTTCTTATCTTGCAAATTCGATCTATGCTGAGTTTTGATTGGGAGGTACAGGTTACACATATATCGAGAACACAGAATTGTGTAGCAGATGCTTTAGCTAAAGAAGATCTACATTCCTCTTCTTTACTTGTTGTGACTACACCTTATTTAAGGGGCCTTGTTTCTAGAGAGTCCCTAGGATCTCATCCCTCTTCTATTTAATTTATGTTTGGGCCTAGCCCCCTCTTGTATCAAAAAAAAAAAAAGTTTAAACGAATTGAGTTTCAAGAATTCACCGAAGCCAAATCATATTTATAGGCTAAAAGGGCACTTGTACAGATATTTATAAATCGCTTCCCAAGAAAATCATTACATCAAGAGTAAGATTGGATCTCAACTTTTTAAATTATGGAACAAATCCTTATTAATTGGACTAATCTTTATAGACAAAGTAATATTAATATTAATCTTGTGTAGCGTGTACAGGGATGCCACGGAAAGAACCTTCGATGTTGTTGCTAGAATAGTAGAATGGATGAGGAGGATAGGTTAGCAGGGTATAACCTAAGGTATATGTAAACTTGTGTCTCTTTTCAGTTAAGTGTTTGTTTTTCAGTTAAAAAAAAAAACTAAAAGATAGAGGAAAAAAAAAAGAGTGTTATTGTAAATTTTTCTTTTTGGGTTTAGAATTTTGAAGACGATGTTTTCTCTTGTAGGTGTTCTTTAGGAATTTGTTGCTTTATGTATTTCGCAAAAAGGGTAAAATAATCATGAATATTGGCTATGGCCCCATTTGGCATAATATATATAGTATATATATACAAGGTTTAATAGGCTAATATCTTAGCAAATTTAATAGTAATACTTTACAATAGTTGATATCACACTAGATAATACATTATATTGCAAAGTTTAGTACTATTTTATTTAATTACTTGGTTATTTTGGGTTCCATTGATTTTTACCATGTCCAGCGTTATAGCAGACATTTCCAAAAATAAAGCTTGGTTTACGTTTGGCACCTTGAAGACTCTCGTTATGTTTGTCTACACTTTATCCTACATGGTGGCCACCTGAATAAAGTGTTAGCAAACATCAGAGCACTACCCTAACAAAGTTCGCACAGCTGGCAATTATGGGGACTTGATTAAAACATTTTGGAAAAATTTAAGTACTAACTTGTTTAACAGTGCAAACTACAAGGAGTAATCTACCAAATATAGAACTCTAAGATAGCAAATTGAAAATTTGGATAAACCATGAGGACTAAATTATTAATTTTTTAAAAAAGAAATCAAACACACACTTCGAGATATAAAAAACATTTTCCAACCTTTAAAATGCCAAACCAAACAAAAAATGTCCTTTGTCATCAATTATATAAAATATCCCTTTGTCATCAACCTTTTTTAATCAATAAACCAAGTCTACTAAATACACTCTCTTCACAAGTTATAGGAACGTTGAAGAGAAGAAATGATGTTAAAAAAAAAATAGAGAAGAACAAAAGGGGGCAGACAAGACTTGTCAGTTTCATAAATTAACATACAATTATAAAATAATAAAATTATTGGAACAGAAACAATGATTGAAAACTAGCCTCGTGTATCATTTAAGCACACAAGATGTCTAAAACTTCCTTTTCCTGTTGCTTAACCAGTTCAGTTATAGCTCCTAACAGGTTCCATTTCCACAAAAACAAGAAAGCAGAAATGGGATGTTAAAGAGCCAAATAATCTTTTAGGAGCAAGTTCAAATTTTATGCGTGCATGATTAACACTAAGCTCATTTGGGTCAAAGAATACGTGTAAGAAGCAATGCTTATCATTATCCAAATACTAAATTTACATTATTAATATCATACACGACAGATAAACATTGACAAAAGCCAATGTAACCTATGTTAGAACAAATTCTGGGTATCGTAATTACATGAAAGTCGTATAGGCCTCTGGTGTCTTCATTCTAATTCAGCCACAATATTAGGTTCCTCACCTTGGCATAGGTACTCATCACATAATGATGCTGATCCCCAACCCTTTCTAAGCCTCAAGATGTCTTCCGTGAAAGTGGAACCAGAGGCTCCAATGAACACACTAGACAAAGCACATATAGTCTTGTCCAACATTGCTTCCACCTTCAGAGTCAAAATATTTATATAGATGGTCAGTAGATAAAGGAATCTATAGAGGCAAAGAGCAATGAGAATTCAGTAAGCATGTCTGTTTTTAGAGTAATTTGCACACAAATGGCAAAAAGGTTTCTCAGTCATCTAATTCCATTCCATTACTCTACAAAATGAAGCATTGGCGGAAAAAAGGGAAAGTAAAACTCTTGAAGCCAATGATTTTCTAAAATCACCAAAATCAATAATTCAGAGGAGTTAATATCTATACTAGCACTACATGGAATCAGACGCTCTTAAGTAGGATGGATGAAGGAGGAGGTATACAACTTTCAAAATTATGATAATACTACATTTGCTTTATTTTAACCTATGTTTTAGGCAAAAGTCAATCAGCACTGATCAACAATCTTTCATGGACCATAAGAGGCTTCTCCTCCACAACCAAAAGGGAAAATAAAAAAGAACTTAACAACTTAAATTGATAATACAATGTATGGCGGCAAGAACACTGCCATCTGCTATCATTATTTTATATTTAGCAGTGAAGTAAATAATTACAAGGTTCTAAACGATTTCTTGGAGTTTACACATAAATCATCCAAGCCGGGCCAGTAAACTTAGACCTCTATTCTAAAGATCCAATCACAAATATGTTAAACTGAAAGCAAAAAAGTTAAGTATCCTATATAGACTTCAGCTCTTAAAACTTTCAAATTATCCTGAAAATGTTGAGCCTTGCCAATACCAATATAATCATCAGATTTGCATGAACAGAAACACAGATTTTTTGTCAAATTAATCTGAAAGGGCAAAGCTATTTGTTCTGGATGTGAGGATGCAAAATTATTAATTAAAAAGACAAGGCATCTTCAAGACAGTGGCCACCGCCATCATCCCTATAATAATGGCCATAAACAATAAATCTACACGTTGGTGTCAAGAACTAAATCATGCCACCGAGGATACAAGGGCATCTTGGAGCTTTAGATAATTCTCAACTTCAGTCACAAGAAGAAAAACCAGAATATCTACTTAATAGATTCAGTATGAAAATATAATATGTCCTGATGGATAGAAGTTATACTGTACAATCCTATAATTTAAATTTAAACATCATGAAAATAGAAGCACTGTCATCACACCTGAGAATCTCCCTCAATATGATGCCTGTATAACAAAGCATCCCATTTTTCTGCTGAATTACGAGCTGGGCGTTTAACAAGTGGAACAGGCTTGCCATTCAGTACCACTAGTGACTGAAGTAGACCAGTTTCACTCCCTGCTGCGTCCGTGGAAAGATAGATCACAGGTGCATTGGCCCTTTCAACCACCCGCAAGATACAATCAGCAGCTTGAGGAATGGGGTAGAAGCAACTTGGTTTTTTTACGTTACTGTAAACATAAAAACGGATCATCAGAGGCAACCCAAGCATAAATACAAAAAGAAAACCTTGCTGGACAGTGCCCTTCATGGAAGCATGCCAATACAGGCTTAATTTACATTAATTTTCCATACTGACTCATCATATATTAATGTTGTCTTTCCAGAAATACGTGCCCATCTAAATTGGGTTAGTGCTTGAGAGGGGCAGAAGCCACGCACCAAAATTTCAAAAAGCCATGTCTGCGGAAATGTAAGGCAATGAAATTCTTTCCCAGGAACGTTTGAATAAATCGCTGAGCAGTCACCAAAATAAGTCGGCTGGGCTCAATAAGAGTCTTGCATTGGTGAGCGATTGGACCACCTGGTTGATTTAACCATTCTTGCTCCACTGCAGCAAAGAACACATCTCCAATTGCCATTACATCATCATCATGTGTAAACTTAGACAGAACATCTTGAACGGTCCTCTTCTTGGGCTTCCTGGTATCCTCTTCCCAAACTGGTTGAGGTGTAGTAAACGACAAACCTAATGACTTCAACTTCTTTAAACGTTCCTCATCAAGAAAACAAGGCTGAGGAAGTGAAAAGTAACATAAAAACTTGTTTATGTGCATATGATGCTTCTCAATATTAGAAAATTCTTCGAAGGAGATCACAACCTTTCTTCCCAAGCACTTGTTTATGTGATCAATATCCAACACTCTATCGTATTGGTAGTCAACTCTATGACTAGGAATAACCAAGACCCGGTTAAGAAGAGCTGCGAAAAACATATGCTTCTCTAAGCAAATCAGATGGTTGGACATCTGACCTGAAACACATATAGCAAGCAGAAACTTATCAGCTTTTGGCTTCCACTCGATTGTTCTTCTTTGCGAAAATTGCTGATCCACCGTTCTACATCTATCATACCGTACACCACCACCGAAACTATCATTCCCAAAATCAAATTCAGGTTCAAACAAGCCCACTGTCCTATGAGGAGACAGCAAAATCTCTTGAATCTCTCTGTTCAAAGAAATCTGCTTAAATAACACAGATTTAAGATCCTCCAACAATGGTTCCGGCGACCGATTCGCACCCTGCATTTGAGAACTCGAATTCAAATTAATCGAGGAATTCACAGAGGACGAAAATAACTCGCTAGATGTTCGGTTCCAAACACCCAAAAGCCCTAAGTGCTGTTGACGCAAGAGATATAAAGCGCGCAACTCGGATTCCTTCATTCGATCGAGGAAAGAATCGAACTTGAGAGAGGAGAGGTGGGTGGGAAAGAGGGAGTGGGGATCGGTGGTGAAGTAGAATAGGATAATGAAGAGAGGGAGAATAGCGAACAAGTACCTCTTCTGGAACTTGAAATTGAAAGTGGAACGGGGAATGCGAGAGCTGAAATTTTCCATGTGGAATGTGGTGGGGGTGGTAGGAGCGGTGGGAGAAGGGGGCTTCCTCTCGTTCTGGTCGATCAAGTTGTGGCGGTCGTCTTCTTCGTCGGAAGACGAATCCCTCTGAACTGAATTCTTCTTGGCCATGGTAGAGGGGACACCAAACCAAGCGCCCCAGATCGGGTCGGTGAGCAGCTGAGTGGGTCAGTTGGAGGCAAGAAGAACAGCCAGGATCAACGGACAACAATGGCAATGAATCGTTGGGTCAGAGAGTGTGACACTGAAATGTGAATCAGCAAGTGGCACCGGACGAGGAAGACGACAGACAGACGGTGAAAGAGGAAGCCCGGTGAAGAAGCAAACGCAGAGGGAGTGACCGGAATCACTCGGCCAGTTAAAATGACCTGTCACCGGCCCATCTTAACTGTCACTGGACCTTCCAACAAGTGTAATTTAGTTGGATTGGCCCAATTATTACAAATAGTAAATCACAATTGAGAATCATTTTATAGTTGACACTTAAGAGCCATGTTGTTGCGCCTTCCTTCATTCCTGGACCTCTACCTATCATGAAATAATATTTCTTTTTTTCCTGGTATTATTTATCACTGTTCGCCCAAGCTAATTCGAATTCTCACTGTGTTAGATTATTATTACCAATGATAATTTTGTCTTACAAGTACCTCAAGATGTTTTAGCATTTTTATTTAATATAATTACATATTTCAAGAACTCCAGATTTCAAAATGAAATAATTCAACTCCCTCAACTAATTAAATTAATGATATTTTCATGTAAGATCGATGAATATGTCTGAAGCTTCCCCCCACCCCCAATATCCTTATTAATGATTTGAAATAGTAGCTGTGTATTTCATAATATTAACTTAATTATATTCTTTTAACGAGAGTAAAAAAAATTAAATAAAAAAGGCAAGAGCAAGTTGTTCTTTATATTTATTCCATAGCCCATAGGAATAATATATTATTTATTCTACAAGATGTTACTCCCTTCATTCAAAATTATAAAACATTTTGTTAGATATAGTATGTTTAAAAACATGAAGCATTTTGGTGTCTTTTAGGAGTAATCAATCCCTTAGTGAATATTTAAAATTAATGAAATTTTTATATTTATTTGTAATTAAGTTACCGTATTAAATAAAGCTAGACATAGAAATAGTATATAATTTCTAATGACATTATTTTTTTTTTGACATAGAAATTAGTTAAAAAACTTTGTAATTTTGAATGGATGAAGTATCACGTTTAAGTAAGTTGATGGCTTGGTTTTCGTATTTGGTTCAAAAAAAAAATTAATTTTCCATTCAATCCTGAAAGATTACTTCCCTATTATTTTGATCTGTTTAAAATATTTTTTTAATTTATCTCTCAACGTTTTTCTCCCATAAAAATGTTCTATTTCTTTTTTAATTCATTTGGCCAAATTCTTTTTAGCTAATTTAAAATCTAGTAGAAATTAACAAAATGTTGGGTGATTTCTTTTTTTTTTTTTTGTTGGGCCAACCTCTTGTTGGGTGATGACACCTTATAACTCTGTCTTGAGCTAAATATATCAAGAAAACAAACATTTTGAACGCTTCCGATCATCCAAGTCATAAAAATCTAACACACTATCAAACGCCTCCGGTTCCAAACTATAACAGTTAACATGCTTTGAGGTATTTACCATTCTGAATTGGAATTCAGTTCACGGGTTCAATATTATAGAACAGTTCAAAAACTATATATGAAGAGTGGGTGCGGGAGTGAACGCATATGCTAGAATTAGCTATCACCGCTATAACATAGAGTAAACAGCATGATACTACGCCATATCATGTTTGAAAACCGAGAGAAGCTTCCTGTGTCCATTTTACTGGGATTCTTCCACTACTTCAACAAGCCTTCCACGAACCCACTTTTTAGTCACAGTAGGTAATCTAGATGGCGTGTCATTTTTAGGGGGCTGAATTTCCCCCATGGTTAGGGGATCGGATTGCGATTCAATACTCTGACCTTGTTCTGCTAGGTGGCTGTCAAAACGAAGAGGCGAGAAGAGGCCATTGGTACCATTAAGTAACTTCTGCAAGGAAAATCTGTGAATACCTTCGAACTTATCTTTCGTTAATAATGTTTTGTGTCCGTTTATTTGACCCATATCTGGCCGGTTTGGAACTTCAAATGCGATACCTTTTTCCTCATCAACCTGACTCAAAACCATAGATGAACCATTACTCTCAGTTATCTGTTGTGTATCAATGGATTCAAGTGATTGAGTAGCTTCAGCTATAAGTTTTCTGGTTTCTATGAGAGAAGCTTGAGCAATGGAACTCCTAGTGGCAGCAACCTCAAGTGCTTTGGCAGCCTTTTCAGCTTCAGCAATCAATAATCTGCAAACTTACGATTAGTTTAATGAATGTATACTAAGTAACTCTAAATAAAGCTGCAATTTAATGAGCTAATTTCAAGAACCAAACAGAAGCAATCAATGTTCAGTGCGTACAGTATGGTCATAAAAAAAAGAGGACATTAGCCTAAACAAAGAAATGGGTACAAAGATATGGGCTTTGCTTGCGTGCCAAAAGTCATATTTGTCGCCACACAACTGAAAACTGAACGAAAAAACATTTCATAGGGTAGGGTAACGGTTGATTGTAACACAAAGGTGAACCATCTCAGATGACATTGACACGCAAGATGAAAATCATGCAATCTGAGCCAAAGTTTTAAATCAAAAAGAGGAAAGGAAAGTTCAATAGAAGTATATAATTGAAATTTCTTAGGGGCAAAAAATGAGCCTACCTTGCTCGTTCAATGGCTTCAATCTGTTTTGTTTCTGTAGCAGCTCTCTGTGCTCTGACATTCTTTATCATCTCAAGCTTACAACTCACCAGAGGATCCTTGTACACAGGAGATTTACTTCTTTTCAACCTCATCTTATCAAGATTTCTAGTTTCACCCTCCAAAGAAATAGTAGTATCGGTAAATCTTTTATTTATAGGGTTCCTTCTTGTGGAATGTGTACCATCACTAGGTCTTCTTGATTTCCTTTCAACTCCAACTTCAGTACCGTGATACTTGGCCATCGCAGAGCACACTCTATTACGGTATACCTGATTGACAGTAAACATAAGTTGGTGCAGAATCAAGGCAATGATTCTAACTGTGATGACTAAGTTATAGCTTAAAATGTAAAATTTGGAATGTCCTCGTGGCCAACCAAAGTTACAAGGTTTAGCTATGGAGTGATATTTCATTGAACAAAAGGAAAACAGCAAAGGCAAAAGTGAAAAAAAAGGAAGCCAGGCAGATCTGTTATCATAAAACTCTATTTTGATATTGAATGGTAACATTTCTAGCAAAAGTTATTTATTTATAAGAATAACGAAACTTTTAGTTCCTCAAGTTTGCCTCAATTATTGATTTGATCTTTAAAATAATATAATATGTAGAGTATATTAATGACCTGGCATGTATATGTAGCTAAAGAGAACAAGTCACTTTTTTTTTCCCTTAAAGAATCTTCCTTTTTCTTTTTCCCTCACAAGTCAACATTTGATTATCCCTTATTTTCCCTTCTAATGACTTGGCATGTATGCGCAAATTCATTTTTTCTATTCCCAAATAATTAATTTTTTTCATTAATTTATATGACTACCAACTCAATATTCCGGTATCCATGTCAACACATTTTAACAGTGTTATCTTCTCTTCAAATAATAAGGACCACTTATTTATTTTCTTGAAATCTAAGGGATTGGATTGATAAAAATTACATTTTAAGGGCCAAATCGATAAGTAAGGCAACCTTTTCATTATCCCTTATTTATATCATCTAGTGTAACTAGAAGTTTGAACAATGGCAAACCAAACTCAACCACTAAAGACTGGCGGGAAGCAGGGAACACATCTATCAACATGTTTCCCATTTATAAATAAAGGGCATCAATGTCAGACCCAAATAAGTGTTATTAGGTGGTAAAATCTCCAACCAACTTATGGTTCGGACCTTAGATAACAGTACTTCTCTCCCAGCACCAGCACATGCGAGAGGATGCCCCCCAGTTATTGGAGGGGAAATAAAGAGAGAAATGGAAAGAGAGAGAGTCCCACTGAAAAGTGGTACTCACCTCTCTCTTTCTCTCCCATCACTTCCCCTCTAGTGACTGGAGGGAATACAGGTCCCCAAGACACATCTTTTATCTAACAAAGATTTCACAATCACACCATGATCCTTGAACTAACAGATAAAAAATACAAGAGTTCTGCAAATAGAAGCCAATTTCTAACTACTGAGCCTCGCTCTAATTACTTCAACTTGCTTACAGAAATCAACTATCAAAAAATTGTTTCACAACAAAGGAAATCCTAAGGAGCTAGGTCACAAAAGATTAACAATGCCATCATTACAAAATGCTATTAAAAGTATAGATTTTGGATTTTGGGTGCTAGATATATCATGTCTTTCTCCTCATTAGTGCGAGAGGAAAAAGTTGGTTGTACTTTCAATTTCTCTAGTTTGCTTAGCAGACCATTTGTCTCTCTAGTTTGCTTACTAGACCAATTTACTCCATGTAGATAAATCATGTCCTTCTTCCCATTTTATGATTTTATTGGTTAGCAACCACAAGCAAGAACAAGCAGAATACTGCACTAATGCTAGCGGTAGAACCACAAACCATGCAAAGTCAGGTATTAAATTATACACTTACAGGATCAGCCCATTTTGTAGAGATGGCTTCAGCAATTTTCCTTCTCTGTTCAAGGGACTTGGGTGCACTTCTATTACCTTGTGCCTTTGGCACTGCATTCCTTTGTTTGACAATCTCTAGCCACTCCTGCTTCAGCTGTTCATTCAGTGTTTCATAGGAATTCCATTGCATCTTATCCTCACCACCATAGCCTTGTCTTGAAGCTTCTGCAATTAAATTCTGCCACTCAAAGTAGCAAGTTTCCTGCATCATCTTCTTTCTATGTATCCCGTCCCATCTCTTTCTCACTCCAGCACCTATCTTCAGTCTTGTTTCTTTACTGTTCAATCACAAAAGATGGCTGAATTAATTAACATTAGGAGTATAAGAAGTAATAAATTAGCACACAGTATTCATCTCAATATAGAAAGATGATAGGCACCAGACATCTTTCTTCCTGCTAGAATTACAATCAATTAATAGTAATAATACTTATAGAAAGTCATATACTCACGTCTGAGCATGCCCAAATTTAACCAACTTCATTTTGACCTGCATTACCAGATTTTGTTAAATAGATTAGTTACAAGAGAAATGATCTTAGCAAACTCATGTATAAGACACGAGTTAATTAATCCTGAATATGCCACTACGAAACCCACTAAGAACGACCATTAAAATTATACCATAGAAAATGTTTAATGACACCAAAGAGAAAATATTTAAATTCTTTAATGTTAGATACTAACTCTGGCTAGCAAGGTTAAGGCAGAGTGGAGCTATAAGATTAAGGTTTATCAAAAACCAGTGCTCTTAATGGAAAATCCATCAAAGGCAAAATTTAACATTGTACAAAAGAAAAACTGATAATAAGATTATAACATGTTAATAAGCCTGGAATGATGAAGTTAAGAATATCAGAAATCAAACTTCTGTTTCCTTCAGCTTCAGTCGTTTGCATTTTCTTCAAGAAAGAGATATCAGTTAAGATACAAAGAGTAAATCAGTAAACGAGGTTAAGTTATTCTACAACAAATAGCATATTAGTAATATAATATTACAATAGTATGGATGCTATAAGGCTTAATATGGTAATCTTCGTCAGCAAAGACATTAAGATATTCTTACATGACATCACCTTAGGATTCTGCATTGCAAGCCTTGTTCTTTCCCTGATTTTTTGCAAAGTCTCTGCTCAGCATTTTAACATTGGAGCTAATCTTAGAACACCATAAAATAGAAACCAAGGTCATTGGAAAGTAAAGGAAGGACAATATGAATTTGTTACCAGGACTGTGCTTTCTGCCTTTATTCCACGGTATGCCTCCTTTATTTGCTTTAGAAATTCTCATTCTTCTCAACTTCTCTCTCTCATCAGGTTCTTTAAGTTCTTCATTAGAAGATTCGTGCAAAGGCCCAGGTGGAATAGAATTTAGACCCAGATCTGAGTCCTTGGGACCCAAGCATTTATTGTCATTCGCAGCCAACCCATTTGGTTCAAGAGTAGCAACAGCCTTTATCAGTAGCCTGCCTTTACGAAGCTCAATACATCCCACATTGAAGGTTAACTTTCTAAGTTTGTGTAAGGATTTCCAGCCACAAGGAACTCTCAGTTCATTACCAAAGGTAACCGAAAATGATGCTAATCTATAATGAGAACTATTCTGCGACCCGAATGAACACAGAGAGTATTGGAAAGAGGGATGTGCATGTGCAATCTCTGCTGACAAAATATAAAGAGAGAAGAAACAGTAATCAGTAGCAACATCTGCAACTGCATAAACGATACATACATACATACATGCTTGCTTAAGGCGTCAAAAGTTTCATGAGCAATCGATCACCAAGGAAGTCTAATTCAATGGCGTTGGCACGTTATAGTGACAAACGACATGCAAATGAAATTTAGCCTGTCTTCTATACATTTAACAGCTATCAAATCCTCAACATTTACAAGAAAAAGAGCAAAAGGAAAGGGCTAAAACCAAACCAAGGAACGAAGAGCCAATTAAAGATTCCCAAGAGAAACCAACAAGGGGGGAAGAGAAGGGAAGTACCTAGTAAAGGCATGGGAGCTCATTCAGTCACAGTTCAAATAATTTACGAGTAAACGGCATAAGTAAATGAAGATAGCATTTCAGTTCTTCTATTCCGCCCTGAAACGCTAAACTATGATGCGAAACAGTGAAGCTGAAGCCTCACCGTCCTCGGAGGGAGGTTGGATAACGATTTCTGAGTTAACATGGGAAGCCCGGTTAATCGAAAAGTTCAACATAAACTGGACTCTGTTGTGGGCTCTTGGAAAATATCTTAGAGCTTGGGCTCATTCAGTCCACACGACAAAAAACAAAATCTTTGAGCGGCTGGGGCTCCTGAAACTTAAAAGTAAAGCTGTCAATTACAGTCAATTTGATCCTTTAGGATCAACTCTTAAAAGTTCAAGAGCTAAATAAGTTAATCCTATTAAGCTCAATTACACTTCAAATTTGGAGTTTCATTTTTGCCAACTCGCCCCTAACTCTTAGGGTTGAAGGGCTGAGACTTTTTTTTTCATTTTTTTAATTTAAAAAATTTATTTAAAATCACAAAAAAGTTATCACACATAATATTAAATTTTAAAAAATGAATTTAAGACAATCCACATAACAGCAAATTTAAATATGATAAAAAATAACAACATCATAAAATCTGCATCGATAATAATTAAATTTTGCTAGCATCATTCTTATGAACATTAATATAATTTAATTCTTCTCAATAGGTTGATTTTTAGAGGATCAATTGAAGAGAGAAGGAATGAGAACCCACTTGATAGTCATATGAAGTAAAACTAGGTTTTAGACTTTTAGTGGTATTTAATTTTTTTATAATAAAATTAATATATATATATATATATATAAAAAAGGGCTTAAAGGGGCTAATCCTAACCCTAAAGGGTTAAGCCCTTTTAAGCTCAATTTATCATTTTATAAATTAAAGGAGCAGTCTAACTTTAGATTTTGTCGAGCTTAAAAGGGCTAGCTAGACAGATTTGGCTCTAATTGACGGCTCTACTTAAAAGATTTTTTTAGTGTCTTATAAGCTTATTTTTATTATTAAAAAAGAAAAAAATTAATCATTTTATTCATATAGTTTTTTAATTAAATTTCAGTTTTTAAGCTTTTACTTTATGCAAGATAGTTCTTATAATTTTGACTCTATTAAAAGTTAGCCCTTGAATTTTGACTTAATACAATTCTATGTTTATAATTTTAAATATTTAAAATATTAATCCTTGTATTTTAGAAATAAAATAATAAGGATTAGAATTATTTTTAAAATTTAGAAAATAATGTTTTAAATTGATAAAACTATAGGCAATGAGTTGAAATTTAAGGATTGGGTATCAATCCAAATCAAAACTATAGAAATTAAGGTCACATTTGTTTACAAGAAAGCAATGGAATGAAAATGATTGAAAAAAATAAAATGATCAAAATATGAAAGAAAATAGGTGATCTATATTCATAAGAAAAAAAGTTAACTTAAATTGAGAATCATGATTTATACAAGTTTTAAAATATGAGCAGTGAGTCATGTTATATCAATCAATTTGTTTTCACATAGTATGAAATTCAATTAGAACAATTAAAAGTTTTTTTAATGAAAATAACCATTAAAAGTTAATAAGTGCATTTATATATAAAAAAGTTGACAATTACGTAGTTCTCCAATAACTTTATAATTATGGCATGAATTTCAAAAATAATCATATGCTTTTCAAATTAAATTATACACTTAGAAAATCTTGAGACAACAAAATTTGATGATAAGATATTAGCTAGTAATTATGTTTAAGTATAAACTATATTGTTTTGTACTATAAATTGTACATAAAATTATCTCCATTGACCCATCGTAAATCTAAAACACACACACAATGAATGTCATATGTCTAGAAATTAAAATAACAATCGCTTATGTCATATTACAATTACAAATGATTCAGGGTACGTTGACTGCTAAGCTATGTTACGTTAACATTTTCTTTTTGGGAGTTTAAAATATACGTCACATCTCATTGAAAACTTACGCGTACATGGCGTGCAAGAAATTCTATCTGTTTTATTTGTTTATTTTAATCTCTGCCTTCAATTGCAACAGATATATAACATATACACTTGTGATCAGTAAAAACCTATATATATAAAATCTCAATAATATATCTGGAAATTGGTATTCGATACATTCAAACTTATTTTTTTAACCCTAACATGTAGTTATTTCAAAAAAAAAAAAAACCTAGCATGTAAGCTCTTACCTGGTAAAAATGCAGAGATGTCAGGATCTTAATAGCAATAACATTAATAACACAATAAGTTGCTTAAAAGAGTAGGCAACGTGGAGGGCACGAAATGAGACGTGAGAAAAAGAATCTTGGCGTTGAAATTTGATAATAGCCTTGCACGTAATGTGTGGAAGACAAACACTAATATTTAATTTTATTTATAAATTATTTTTATAAACCTTATTGATATTAATATAATAAAAATATAAAAAACAAAAGTAAATAATATTTTAAATGTGATTGTTAAGTAAAAAGTAAAAAATAAATAAATTACATAATATTATTTTTTATCTTTCTTACTTTTTAAAAATAATTTTAAAATTTTAATTTAAAATAAAACAATCATATCAATTAATTATTTATAAAATAAAATAAATTTTGATTTTAAAAAGTATCTAATATATAGAATTCGAGGGAGCAATTCATTTTTTTGTGAGCAAAAATAAATAAATGAATGAATTAAAAAGACGAAGACTGACCGGGAGAGAAGTCTTTGCTTTGAAAGGGTCCCACCATCAAAGCCATTACGTAACCTAACCCCAATTCCTTTTCGATTTTCTATGTGCAACTTGCTCTCATGTCTACTTTTCTTTTACATAATTAAATATATATATATATATATATTATAATATAAATTATTGTTAATTAATGTATATTTTAAAAAAGTTATTTTTTAAAAATTTTTTACATCTTTTCCACCATATCTTTGTGTATGATAAATATATTGTAATTCAGAGTACCATGGATTTTCATAAGGCATTTTTTTCGTATAAGGATTTGTTGACAATTTTATATAAATCAAGAAAATTTTTAAAATTAGTTAATATTTTCAATTTTTTAAAATCATCCTCAATGTAAAAATGGTTTATTAAATAATAGAAAAAATTAATCTTTTAGTTCTTGTAGTTTAAACTTAGTTGTAACTCAATCTTTATATTTTGACTCATTATAACTCAATCTGTAAAGTTTTGACTCCATTATAAATATGTTTTTAAACTTTACCTCTTGTAATTTAGCCCCCTAAAATTTTAACCTTTTAAATATTGGTCCTTATATTTTTAAAAATAAAATTATAAAGATTAAAAATATTTTAAAATTTACTACTAATATTTTAAATTATTAAACCCTTTTAATCTTTACAAATATTATAAATATTAAAAGTTTCAATCTTTATAATTTTATTTTTTAAAAAATATAGAGACCAATATTTAAAAGGTTAAAACTTCAAGAATTAAATGCAAGAGATAAAGTTCAGAGACTAACTTATAATTGAATCAAAATTTCAGAGATTGACTTATAATGAATCAAAGTTGAGGAATCAAGTTACAATTGGGTTAAAATTATAAGAACTAAATGGTTAATTTTTTTTAATAATATTATTCATTAGTTAAAAGATTGTTCAGTTAATTAAGGAATATCAAGGTTATAAGAGAATTTAGGGAATAACTAATTATATATTAGATAAAAAATCTAATATATTATAAGATTAAAGCAAATCAGTAATTCAGCATATATATGTGACGGAGAACGATGACAAGATACACATCGAGGTGCGCACAAATTCGACGACGACATTTTTTTTTTTTGAATACGTGAACAAATTTGTATGACACAAGAGAACAAGGAGGATAAAAATACTTATCCCAATCAATCATACTTTTTCACATTGCCTGGAATTTAAGCCATTGATTGCAAAAATAATCAATGGATTTTGGACATAACAACTAATATGTGGAAAAATGGAGTTTATTTTGAATTTTAATACGTAATCAAACTTATTAGGATATTGAGTAACATTGAAAATACGGACGTTGAGTAACATTGAATTCGCTCAAGTGTGACTCCCCAAACTAGTGAATGCCTCAAGGTTAAAAAAAGATGGATGCTTCAAAGAAAGAACAAAACCAAATTCAAACTTGCAAGCCTAGCTAGTAATTGTCTGATATATATAAAACTAGATATGATCATCACTTGCAATATTACTACAAGCACATTCCTTTTGGAACATAAATTAAAAGAACACAAAAGCATGTTCAATATCATCGTCTTGTTCATAATCTTCCTCATGACAGCCATGTTCGTCTTCTTCTTCCTCATCAAACGCCTTCATCATGAGCAGCAGCAATATTCTCGTGCAGCTTCTGATCAAAGTGATTATTACTGTGTCGTGTGCTTGAGCCAAGTGATTGATGGAGAAAAGATTAGACGCTTATCAGTATGCAACCATAGGTTCCATTCTGATTGTATTACTCTATGGCTCAAGAACCATTCTACTTGCCCTCTTTGCAGATACATAATCACTCATAACGATCATTCTCTTCTTCATCATTATCATCAGAACTTAAGAGCTCTTCTGATTTTCCTCTCGCAGGGTTTTCGTCATCTTCTAATTCCACCTACCACTTCTCACAATCTCCACTTTGCTCATTATTGAACGACGTTTATATCTGTGTTTTGTATGTGCGTGTGTGTACACCCATTGTTTGATTTCTTTAGTTTGTAACTAATTAACTTACTAATCAATCCCACCCTGATTAGCTAACTCGTCGCAAATGATCAGATTGGTTTGTGGGTAATTAAAAGAAGAAAAAAATTATTCTGCATGTCCTTTATAGTTTTTCTCAATTTTAAATTAGGTTCCTAAAATTTATTTTGTTTTAATTATGCCCTTATAGTTTAGTTCATTAGATATGTTAATCCTTCAATATTAAAAATAATAATGAGTTATTAATTTTTCTAAAGAAAAAATAATTTTGCATTTTCTAAAAAAATTAATTTTTTTAGTATTTTCAGTCCTTATAAGGACTAAAACCATTGAAAAATAAAAACAATAGGAATTAAAAAATAAAAGTTATCCAATTTTTATGAAATTATAGAGACTGAAAAAACTAAAAAAAATTATAGAAACTAAAAACAAAACTATAAGGAACAAAGATTATGTTTTCCCTATAATTAATTCTAAAGTTATATAATCTTTCAATAAAAATACAAAAATCTTAATTTTTTTATGAGAAAAAGTTTAAGAATTTTAATCTTCAAGGATTAAAAAATTTAATGGATCAAACTATAAGGGTTTGATTAAAACAAAATAAACAATAGAAATCTAATTAAAAATTGAAGAAAATTATAAGGACATTAAGATATACTTTCCCTTAAAAGAATAACAAAACTATAAGAGAGATGCATCTGCAAATTGTAGCTAAACTATTCAAACCCCTTAAAAAAAAATTAAACAACAGAATTTAGATACAGTTAAAAAAAGTTATATATACTTTGTGTTGGGTGTAGACTCCCTTTAGGTAGAAAAATGTCAAAGTTTAAAACATATCATGTGTCTTACTAACTAGTGTGGAGATCATGAAAAATAATACTAATGTGGAGAGGGGTTAGATTAAGGTAAGTAAGTGAAATCTCAATCTTATCCAAGGTTAACGATCAGCCCTTTAAAAGAATAGGAGAGGAGAGGACAATTTTTGCATCTTTACAAAGTAGTTTTAATAAATTTGAATGTGTGGGTTCATTAATTATTATTGAATTGAATGGAATTGAAATATTGTTTTTAGAGTATGTGGTTCTTTCTTTTCTGTAATTACATTGGTTCATTAATTCGGTATCTAGTGTAAGAGTTATTTAGTTCACCATACAATCCCTATTTTGGGCTTTTAATTTTTAATATCTTTTCTATCGACTTATTAATTTGCTGCTTTGATTGTTGAGTAATTATTTATACATTTAATGGAGACTCTTTTGTATCCTTATAATTTTTATCACAATGAAGTTAGTTTCATTGGTGTTGACAACTTTTGATTCTTATACTTACATAAAAAAGTTTTTCATATTAATAATTTTATAAAATCTCTTGTTCCTGATGTACTATACATTTAAGTTACGTTGGGTGTGTGTTTTATCAATTTTCAGCTATATGCATGATTATGTTGATTTATTTCCAGAGATATATTAATTAGATGAAATTTAAATCCATGTGTTTAACAACAACTTTTTTCTTTTTTCTTTTGGCCCGGGATCAACTACAACTTGTTAGAGTCTTGAGTTAAGTTGGCACCCCACACTCCCCTCAAAGGGAAGGCTGTGGTATGTGCGTGTTTGTGGGGTTTGGGGAACGATTGTGATAGGGGTAGACAAAAAAAAAAAAAACAAAGAAAGAAAGAAAGAAAGAAAGAAAGCAATATTGCCACCGTTTTTTTTTTTTTCCCGTTAAGTGAAGCAACTTCTGGATTTTGGCCTTCTATTCATCAACAATAATATATATATATATATTATATAAACCCAACCATAATTTATTAATCAATTATTAAATTTTTAATCTTGAATTTCATATATAAAAATTTAAGAGTGTTATAATTAATTTGTTTTCTTTTCTTAAGGATGAGTTGGCTTGGTTTGCATAATTAGCATTTCTTGAGCACATCAAGACAAAAAGAGAGGTTATTCATAAGAATCAAATTTTGAAAGGTAAGGGTGTATTTTTATTTTTAAAATATTCTCTAAAAAGCATTCAACACCCTAACTTGATTGATATAGTATTTTTGCTATTGAAGTAATTAAAAAATAGCATTATACCCTAACTTTAAATAACAAACATTGACTAATAATATGATGTGAAGATAATTTGATTATCTAATGAATATTAGTGGGTATTTAATGTCAGGATGGGAAATTTATACATTTTAATTACTTTATAGGTGAAAATGTTACACAAAATAGTTTAAGATATTAAGTATTTCTTAAAAATATATATTTTAAGAGTAAAAATATACTTTTATCCTTATTGAAACATGCTAGTAACATATTTGATCCAAACTCTGTACTCTATGATTAGATAATTTTATTTTAATCTGTCCAACTTTATCCACTCTTCTATTAACATATCAGATTTTTATTTGAATTTTTTATATTATTATTGTCAAAACTGAATATTTTACAGAGTCTATCATTCACTTTCAAAGTTTGAAAGGCTTGAATCTGGTAGTTTGCCTATCTTACCGAAAAAAGATACAATAAGTTACATTATCCTACTAATTAGCAGCCTCTCTCAGTTTTTTTTTTTTTTTGGGCCAGAAGTTAGCAGCCTCTATTTAAATCAGTAATTAATTATACACTTTAATTTAATTTCAATTCATTAAGAATGTCATTGATAAAAATCAATAAAATATGTTTTGGTTAAATATTAACTAAAAATTAAAATTACACAAAATATTGACCGACTTTTTATTTCTTAAAGAATCTTCTATATTAAAAAATTATAATTTTAATAAAATTATTTTTCTAATGAAAAATTAAAATCTCTGTACATTAATTAACGAGGCAACGACAAGTATGACAAAGAGTCCACATAGGAGGGCGCAAACAAGGAACCATCAAAGCGCTCATATCTTGACATTTTATTGTTTGGTCAACCACACCACATTGGATATTAGATGAATTTAGTTTGGTTTGATTGTCCAACCCAAACTGTTTGGACAGTTAAGTCATTTTTTTTTTAATTGACAAAAAGCTATTTACGTTAGCATCGGCTGACACTTCTCAAGTCAGCACCAAACGAAAAATCACATTTACAATTCATATATACCCTCTTCAATTTTATTTATGAATCATTTTTATTAATCTCATTAATATTAATATAATAAAAATATAAGAAATAAAAATAAATAAAATTTCAAACAAAATCTTTAAGTAAAAAAATAAAAATAAAAAATAAATCAATCATATGATATTATTTTTTTATCTTTTTCTCTCTTATTTTTTAAGGATAATTTGAGAATTTTAATTTAAAACAAAATAATTTTATCAATAAATAATAAAGTGGACCATATTATGTTTATAGAAAGTGATTTATATGCTGGACTAGAGGAGTATAAATTAAAAATCTTAATAAAGATTAAGTTGAGATCAAGTTGCATTTGAAAGAATATTTTATACTGTATGTGCATCAAAAAGAATGTTTTATCTATTTCTCTGTCATTTTTATAAACCGATTTTTTAATTGTTTTTGACTCTCTTGAGACCGCAACTAGGGATTCAAAAGCAACTTGGAGGCTGTACCCAATCTATATAATCTTCCCTTAAATCTGTTAAATGAGCTTGTGTGTATTTATAACTTTTGATAAATTAAAATTTAAAGATAAGATAAAGTATATTTTTTTTATTTTTTATTATGAATTTCAATCTAACCTCATCTAATGGAATAAAATTTATTGTTGTTGTAAATGAAGGTGTACTTTTGATTCTTAACTTTATATAACGTTTTAATATGATCTCTTAATTATATAAAGTATATTTTTAAAGAAAAATTAATTTTTTTTATTCTTCAATTTTTAACTCACTTGTAACTCAGTCTCTCAATTATGACTCACTGCAAATCAATTCCTCAACTTTTGATTCACTTATAATTTGATCCTTATTTTTTAATTTTTTTTTAAAATTTCTCATCAAATAAGAGGGATAAAAAATGCTCATATATTATTTTAAAATACCCTCCTCTTGCTCATTGATGTGAGATATAAGTTAACATAAAAAAAGTTAACAAGAATTCAGGGACTAATTTGTAAGTGATTCAAAAGTTGAAGGATTGAATCATATGCTAGTTATAGTTAAAAAATTGAGTTACAGCAAGCCATAGTTGAGGGATTGAGTTACAAATGAATTAAAAGTTGGAGGACTAAAAGATCAATTTTTTCTATTTTTAATCTCCCAATCCTAATATCATTAGTTTTAAATAATTATTTTTTAGTCAATCATTATTAATTAAACTTAATATGTCAATATTTAAAAATATTTTATCAATATTTAAAAATTTAATTTATAATTTTATTTTGTGATAAAAGTAATTGTGTTAGAATTAAAACACTAAAAAGATATTTTATAAAATTAATATGTCAAAACAAAATCTTGTATAAAGTAAAATGAATAAAAGTATATTTTAGCCATTTTTTTAAATTATATATAATACAAAAAATAAATTTAATTAACAAAAACGCTAATTCCAGAAGAAGAAGTTATATGAATAATAATACACCTTGTTTGAAAATTTCCTTGAATTTTTATTTTAACGTTTACGCTCAGATACCTGGAGTCTCTTGCAAATTCAACAATTGATTCTTGATTATATTATCTTTTTATTAAAAATAATCATGTTCAAAACACAAGGGACACTAAACATAGATGCATAATAATTTATTTAACGGGAAACTCAGTTTATTACATTGTAGTAAGAAGCTAGCTCCTTTTATCTGACCCTAATTCTGTGGTTATATGTTTTTCACCAAGCATATGGATTGAATATTAGTTGGAAAACTAATAATTGATGATTAGTGAGCGATATTTGCATATATTTATTTCAGGGAAATGACTGAAGGCGGTTTGAATTGTTCAAAACGATGTCTGTTGTATTTCTTTTCTTCGGTTGCTTGTTTCTAGTAATTCAAATTCGACGTAGGAGTCAACCTCTTCGAAGTCCAAAGTCTCCAGTCCAATGTGGAGGTTCTACGGTGCTTCCTTTCATCTCTGTCACCGCTTTCCCTTCCTCTTCCTCCTCTTTTCATTATATTATCTTCAATTTCTCTCCTTTCAAATTCAAATCCAACTTCCTCTTCTCTTCGCATTTCTTCCATCCTCACAGTCATTCACTTCCCATTCTCACCCTCTATTTATACCTTCTTTCTGGATTCCTTTCCTCTGCGGTATTCCGAAATTTCGGACCAAGAATAATCTGGGTTTTGAATTGCTACGCGTGTTTCTGGATTCATGGGTGGTTTGGCAGGAACAGATGACAATTCGGGGGACTCTCCGGGGATGGAATTAACTGGAAAGATCATGGTTGTAGCTATAATATTCCTCTTTTTCGTGATTGTGATCGTCTGCTTCCTCCATCTCTACGCCAAATGGTTCTGGCGGAGCGTTGAAGGAAGCTCCTCTACCACCGATCGCCACAGTGGCCACCGCCGCCGCCGCCGATTTGTCTTCGCACCTGGACAAGACCCGGCAATCCATGGCGTCCAGAGAAGAGGACTTGAGCCTGAAGTCCTCAGATCCATACCTGTATTGGTATACCAACCAGAGGAATTCAAAGAAGGTTTGGAATGTGCGGTTTGTCTCAGCGAGCTTGTTCATGGAGAAAAAGCAAGGATATTACCCAAATGCAATCATGGGTTTCACGTGGAATGCATTGATATGTGGTTCCGATCCCATTCTACCTGTCCACTTTGCCGGAACCCAGTCGCTTCTGAATCCATTGAATCAAATTATAGTTCAGGTGTTCGAGAAAATGTCTCAGACAATTATAGTCATTCATCAGACTCAGAAAGTTCGGATGCTATGAGCGAGGCAGATTTAGAGTCTCAAAATTTCCCCACAAATGTGTTGATTTGGGGAAACCAGACCCAAGTGAATTCTATTGGTGCAGGTCCTTCTCTTCAGACACCTTCTTCCTCATCATCGTTAGCAGCAGCAGAAGCAGATAGCAGCAGCAACAATAACAATAGACGTAATGGAATATTGGTGATTGACATACCAAGGGAGATGAATCCATCATCTTTACCTTCTACTAGCATGTGTGCTGAAGATGAGTTGAAGTCACCAATGACATCTCGACTCAAGTCATTCAAGAGGATGTTAAGCATGAAGTTCAGTCCTCGTAGTCCTAGTTCTGTAGATGTGGAACAAGGAGGGAGAGGACAGACCTAGCTGGAAATTGTTTGACGATTGCTGTATTCATTATTCTTTCAGTACATATTCGCCCGAAAGGAGGCGGGAATTGGCGTGTAGATTATGGTGATTAGCAAGTCAAGGTGAAGACTTAGTGCCTGAAAGGTGTTTGATTTCTTGTCCTTGAGATGAAAGCTCACAGTTCCTTTTGCAGAGAGACAGGAAGAGCTCTCTCAAAGTTGATTCAGTGTCTTTCTAAGGCTGCATGCTCTTTGTAATTGTAACAACTTCTTATAAAACACTATTAAAAAAAGATTGCTTGAAATGTTTATATTGTAAAAAAAAAAAAAAAAAAAGAAGTTTCTCTGTATTACAAGGGTGAAATTATCCCTTACATAAATTTCGTTGTATCCTTGATATAATTTCTTCATCAGGCTTACCTCTTTATTTTCATGTGTCACAAATCAAGTAGCTATTGATCGACCCATTTAGTCTCTGGTCGGCCAATAATGACTCTGGTTTAATACAGTTGATTCATACTTCACACTTAAGTTAAAAACTTCCACTATGGGATCCAACATTGCACACCAAAAATTGCAGCCTGGATTTTCACACAAGATCATTGAGATTGAAGTTACTTAGAATAGAGTTAAGAGATGATGTTTTGATTACAGGTGCTTTTAGTGTGTTAAATGTGTACATACAACCTTTTATATCAATCTAATTGCAATTGTAATTGCAGCCCTTGTTTCCCTGTCGAAACAGAGGAGAAGCCAAGAAAGAATAGCAGAGAAGCCGGACTAATTCAGTTGAGCTACTAAGTTAATGATTGTTACTAATCAAGTCTATTATTTGCTAGTTGATTATGCTGAATAGAAAAGAATAAAATAAGGAGTGATTTTGAAAAAGAGAAATGATTTCCCTTTTCCATTTTTTTTTTCAAAAATTTAAAGGATGCAAGAATTATTAAATAACGATTTCAAAAACATAATACACATTCAAACAAAATCTCTTCCCACCTTTAAACTTTTCAATGCAGACAGAATTATTCACTCAATATTCTGTTTAGATGGTGGGAGGTAAGGATGAAAAAAACCTCTCAATCACTCATGCTTCTCTTTTTCCCTAAAGCTGGTCCCACTAAGTAGTTAGGTAGTTCATGATCTTCAATAGGGTTGCTTCTTTCTCTAGTCTCCATGTAAGCTATTAAAATCTTAAACACGAAGAAGATATGATGTCAATAACTTCAAATGGCACAAGGCTCAAGTATAGTAATTTTAAAAAGTCATGGCATGTTGAATATGAACGTATCAAACATAAATCTCAGTTCACACAAGACTCTGATACACTTTCCAGCAGAGTTTCCCTCAACAGCCAATACATTCACACTCATTTTGCAGTGGAAAATGAAAATATTGTCATAAGAATATGCATTTCTGACAGAGAAGCCCAAAACTTGGACATGCTCTTCATTCAAGCAATGTTTCAGGGTTTAGTTTCCGCACTCCCAACATGTGGGTCTTGAATGTACTCCAGCATACCTTACTTAAGAATTTCTAATTCAGACATGCAGATTCAAGAGACGACATAGGGGGGACCATAGTTCTGAATGTGAACATCTTGAGGGCTATTTTGTTGCTGGTGGTGGTGGAGACACACATAGGGAATATCATTGTGGTTCTCTTTCTTTGAGGATTTAGAGAAGAGACTTGTGATGAGAGGACCAGTATGGGGACGCCATTGCTTCTTTGCATTAGGAGCTCTTCCAGAGTTATATATTGGACCAGAGACGTGACTTTGCTTTTTCCCACAAGAACCCTTTTGCTCTTCAGAATTAATGTTGGTGGTGGTGGGCTTGCTTTTCTTCTCAGTTTTCCACCATGAAACCACAGAACTTTTCCATGATTTCTTCTTCTTCCCACTTTTCTGTTTCTCTTTATCTGATGATTCTTCTCTCTTCCCTCCTCTTCCTCCTTCTGGGTGCACCGATGCTAAGCTCTTCGCCTTTGCTTCTGTCATCTCATATTTTCTTGCTTCCTCCAAGAACTTAATCAAACCAAAGAAACTCAGAAATTGTCAAAATATAAATAAAAGCTACTTACTTTCAGTTCAAGAAAAAGTTTATAGCAGAAACCGGAAAAAGAGAAGAGAGATTGGTACCTGAGAAAAGTCCTCCTGCAGATCAAATCCATATGCGTCATAATAACTTGCCACAGATTTTGAGTGTGCAGGCGATTTCATCATTGACTACAAAGATATCTATGAAGATATCAAGTCAATACTATGGAAAGAAGCAGAAAAAGAAATGAGAAGCAAAAGAGCTGTCAAGGATGAGAAGAAAGCTTAATAAGAATATTAAGAATATGACATTCTAAAAACAAAGAGACTCGAATGGAAAAAAATGACTTGTAAAAAGCTTTACAGCAAATAACTCCACTTTGGGTTGAATTAAGTAGTTCAAGCTTGAATCATAAAAAGGTAAGATCTAACTACTCTTCTTATAGATATCATAATCACAGTGCCACTTGTACATAGATATAATAGAAACTATTAGTAGTTGAAATGGCATTATAAAATTTCTTATTCAAATTTGCTTCTGACGTGAATTGGAAGTTAGATTAACCTTGTAATAATTATTAATTCCATACACATACATACATTATATGCGCGCGCGCGCGCACACACATATATGTAACGTGTGTAGATTATTTTTACTAATGCATTCCTTGAATGGTAATATTTTCTCCATCCTTATTTATTTGTCCTGAAGTTGCCTTTTCATTTTGTCTTTAAATGCTTTTCTTGTTTCAAATTTCTAGGTATAATAATGACTTATTTCAATAATACCCTTAAAAAAAATAAAATTTCCTATGTCACCTTGTAATTGCCTCATGTTATTAAGTAGGAGTAATAGTGAAAAACAAATTAAAAATAACTCTTACATTTTGGATAAATTTTTCTATTCTTATTGATCTGTTTTGTCCTGTGAAGACAAGTAAAAACGGAGGAAGCACTAATCAAGTATTTAAGTAAAAAAGATAAAATTCAAATGTTAAGCAGTGATGATAGACTTGTATTATTTATCCTACTTTAAGTAAACAATTTTATGAGAAAGTGGAAAAGGTCAGATGCAACAAACCTGTAAATCAGATTTTTTTTTTTGGGGGGTAAAAAATTGTATTACTTTATATGAAAGATAACATTTTTGAAAGTTACTAAGTAACAAGTTTGAAGGAGGAGCAAAATCTGAAAAGTAAATAAACATGCTTGAGAATGGAGAACATCATTATGATTCATGATAAACTTTTCCTCCCCTCGTACGGGGCCACACTTATTCACCCCCACTAAACTTTTTCTTGATTTTTTAAATTCTTTTCGATAATTTATTTTCCTCCGCCTTTTAAAGGAAATTTATGGTGATCGAGAATAAATGTCTTGTGCCTCTATGAGACCCAAATGAGAGAAGCATATTCTTCGGTGTGTTGTTTTAAGAAACTAGTTTTATATTGTTTAAAATAGAAAATATTGACTCTAAAATATTCAGATTAGATGATCTAATATTACTACCTTGAAATTGAAAATATGTTTATTTGGATTTGCATTCTGATTTGGTAGGTAATCTTAATGCACTCATTCAATAAGTATTTCAGTTATAATCATTAGGTTTTATTAATATTTGAATATTATCAATGGGTAAACTCTCTAAGTATTGCAAATTATCAAAATATTCACTGATAATAGATAATATTTAACCCAAAATATTAAGAGCAATGGGTAAATTTTTTTAATTAAATTATTACATATATAAAATTAGAACGAACCTTCAAAAATTTAAAGTAATTATCATAATTAAAATACTTCCCATATATGTTGTCTCTCAAAAAAAAATTGAAATTTAATACTCTCTGATTGTCTCTCTTAAAACTGTCTAATTAAATTAAATAAAATAATTGCTGTGGTATCATGTAAAACACTTTTAAAGTGAGTGGAATCACAGCAGATTCAACCCCCCCTTTTTTTAACAATGGCATAACAAATTATGTTCTTTTTAGGGGATTGTTCAAAAATTAAAATCTTATAATTTAAAATGGGAAAAATGTGAAAATGGGGTGGATTGGACACTGCATGATCCTAGCTTCGTGACGATCCGTGATATTGGGGTCAGCAAGCAATAGGATTTTCAACGCATGGCCGCGACAAACATGCCGCGTTTCCCGGAGGACCCTGCTGTTTTTGCTTTTCTTTATTTTATTTTTCTGCACAAATATATCGCCCCTTTTCAAAATATAAAATATTTTAATCAAATTTTATTTTTAATAAAATAATTTTTTATCTTTAAATTAATACCATTTTTTTATATTTACTCTATTTAACATAATGTTTCACCCTAAAATAAATATAAATTAATGTATTCATTAAGGACATTTTTTTTAAAAAATATAATAATTATATTTTAAAAAATTAAAAATATTTTTTATTTTTTAATATCCAATTCATTGCCTTACATTTTTTAATGAAAAAAAATAGTTGCCATCAATCTCAACTAGCTAAATTAGGATTTGATTCTTTAATTTTATATAAGATTTTAATTTTATTTTTTAATTTTATAAAGTATTTTGTTAATCCTTTAACCGTACACTACTAGTTTTATAAAGTATCTTTTATAAAATATTTTTTAATTTTAAATGATTATTTTTTATACCAATTATTGTTATTTTAGAAAATTAAACTTGATATGTTTATATTTGAGTTAAATGAATGAAAAGATACTTTATAAAATTAAAAGATAAAAATAAAGCCTAGTATAAAATTGAAGTGCTAAAAGTACATTTTAGCCATTTCAACTTATAACATAATTTGATATAAAATTATGGGAGAATAAATTTAAGATCCTCTCAGGGAAATTACCAAAATAAGAGCCCATAATTTTATATTGAATATTGTCATGCGAAGACACGTATATATTGTTGTTAAATGTTGAATCTTAACTTGTATTTTTTATTAGAATTTCTTTGGATAAGATTCAACTTTCAACAACAATATATACTTGCTCTCACAAGACAGTATTCGATGCAAAATTTATGGGCTCTTATTGCTGTAAATTCTCTTAAAAGGGCCTTAAATGTCATGCTCCCTAAAATTATACATATAATAAAGTTTAGAGTAAAAAGTGATTTCCCTTCCATTTTGCTAAATTACAAAAAAAATTTCATTATTTTTAAAACTTAAACTTTAGTCCAATTTTAACATCATTAAGAATATTCAGTTAAAAATTCTCAAATACTTAATTTTTTATTTCTAATTAATGATAAAAAATTTTAAATTATTAGTTTGTCCTTATGATCTAATTTTCTACCCTCTCTCCCAATTTTAAAAAACTTAAATAATTAATATTTTCAATATTTAAATAAATAATTTAAATATTTTTTGTTAAATTTAATGAAATTTAAAAAATAAACATAAATTATATTGAGCAATTTATTATATTAAATTTTTTATAAATTTTTTATTAAAATATTTCTTAAATTGTTTAAATTGCGTATTTGAATATTATTTTAGCTCATTCATATATTTATTTTTAAAAATTACTCAAGAAATTGTATTAAAAAGATAAAAAGAAATTCAAAATGGACTAAAGAAAGTAAATTCTAGATGAAGATTGTAACTTGCCTTATTACTCCAACACAACAAAATCACCATGGTAATTAAGAAATAACTCATTCATTACCATACTATAGTTGAAACGCTTTAAGCCTTTTACTAAATATAAGTGAACTAGTCATAATAAAAAGGAAAAGATCAGTTCAAAAGTTTATTATGATTAAAATGTTTGAAATCAATAATTTATAACTTTAATACGTACTAAGATGGTAGAATAAATTCTACCCTGGTGGAATAGTCTGGAATCAAGTATTTAAAACTCATTGAAAATCTAAATAACCAAACTCAAGTTAGAACATAATAGCAACAGCGATGAGATACTAAGTTTAGATAATTTAACACATTAAATCTTGACAAAACAAGCTTACATCAAATCTACAAAACATATGGAAGCATGTGATGTCAATTAGACTTGAAAACATTTGCAAATAAGGTTAAAAATGTCAAAAACCCACAAACAAGCAATCAATTGTGGCCAAAGGAAAATGCATAGCAACTAATGTTCTCTGTGCCATGCACAGCATATTGCATAGATTAGATGACAACACTTTGTCGTCAAATTCAATTTTCGAGGCTAAACTTTTAATGTGTCCTAAATTTTTATTTGATGTTCGATTGGATGGTGATATAGGTGCTCACAAAAAGTTATTTAATAATTTTTAAATTATATCATACCAAAACGTTTGACACTAAATCCAAATTAATCACATTTTCACACTTTTTTACAACTAGAATGTCTAAATTTAGCCCAAGTGTCAAATGTTCAACTATATCTTTAGACCACATTCAAGGAACTTAAGACAGCCATTGCAACACATTAAAGTAATTAAAATATCACACATAACTCAATTTTACCCCTCAACCCCTTGATTCCAAAAAATAATAGGGGGAGATTTTCAATATCAAATGCCAACATAATCATTACAATCATTCATATAATCATAATCATACTTGTATTAGTATTTTGTGTAACAACCCTACACAAAATAAATCAAATCTCATAACACATACTTTAAGGCCCAAAATATAACCTTTTCAACTAAGCATACCAATGGTACAAGTACATATCAAAATATGTAATACTAGGGACAATATCCAAATTTTTACGCAATGTAAGCTCAAAATATAAGAGGTATTATAGTAGGAATAAAATTCCCAAGTCTCAAGTACTTACTCTTTATCTTGCCTAAAGCTAGTGCCTTTAAAATGTTAAGTAAAAAGGTGAGTACATCCATTAATAACCAAGATAATCTAAGTTATGCACATGTAAGTTAATCAATCATAGTCATGCAAAGTAGGCATTCATAACAAACATATCCGCATTTCTAAATCACATAATTCACATATTTACATTTCAACAATGTGCAATATAGTCAAGTCATAAATTTAACAATCATGTGACATTTAATCCAATAAGATGCATGATCAATAACCTCCCTTATAACCTCATAATATCTCTAACTGAAACCTTAAATTATTAAATCTAATGGGAATGCTTTGTGTAAATGAAATAATCTAAACTCATAAATTATGATGAGCTACCTAACCAAAGGTTACTATACTCATTCTCAGACCATGATTTCTCCCATTCACAAATTCCTGAGGTGTCATTGACCTTATTCTAGTCTCCTCAAGAAATAAATGGAGACAAGTTAGGTTAGAGTTCCTTAAAAAATTGTGAAACAATCTCAATTGTAAGACAAGTGGCTAGTCATTACCTTCCGAATTACAGCCATACC